TCCTTTCCCTTTCCCTTTCCCTTTCCCTTTCCCTTTCCCTTTCCCTTTCCCTTTCCCTTTCCCTTTTCCACAATGGTAGCTCATGGATTTTTTTTTAATTTAATTAACATCTAAAAATCTTAGTTTGTGAGAAACATTTCCTTTTCATGGATTACTGTGACACAAAAGAAGCAAAGACTTCCCAATAGCTCTTGCAGCAAAAGTATCCAAGTCTGACTGCATGGCCTATGCACGTGGTGGACAACTTCAGTTAGTTGGTTGGTTTGGTTAAGGTGGCTGAGGGCAGATGCTCCTACGTTAGGTATGATGTGTCCTTTCTTCATCCAGAACAGAAGGAGCCCACCTGGAGGTGAGCTCTTACTTCAGGCTATTCTCACTTCTGCTCCTGCATTCCTCATGCACTGCACAATGCTTCCAGCCACATGCATTTCACCCTGCTCCATCAGTGCCAACGGGGAATAGCATGCTTCCCTAAAGACTTCACTTTTTTCTCAGTTGCCATCTAAAACTGTATTTTATCTGGGAATAGTCAGATTTCTCCTCTGAGAAAGACACAATGCTTTTATGCTGTGCTCTAATTAGGCAGAAGGCGATGGAAATTGTGCTTCACACTGAAAAATACCTATAATTTCGACTACATTCAACTTCTAAATCTTTGGTTGTTCACCTCCGTGAGATTTCAGAAAAATTCCAAAGGAGGAAGCATTTACTGAAACCTTGCAATTGCAGTTTAGGTGGGGGGTGGGAAATTAGCAGCTTTAATAGAAGCAGCTGCACAGCAATCTGGAAACCAGCCCAGTTGGGAGGAAAAAATTTGTCCTCCAAAGAGAAGCAGGCTCAGAATTATACAGAATGTGTCCAGCTGCCAGCACATCACCTGCAGAAGGGAGGCAGAAAGGAGGTGTAGGTGGAACGTGTCCTTTCGGCAGGTTGACATCTCCTGCAGATGGGAGAGAGCTGCAAACATCATGCTGGTTTTTGAATGATACAATGCTGACTAGAAAATGAATTTTTCCTTTCTTTTCTTGCTTTGTACTCCTGGACTATGTCAGAATATAATACTTCGCTATCATGAAGTACATTGCTGACAGGTTCAACAACTCTTCCTCTTTCCCTAGAGCAAAAAGCATTTCATGATAGTGAGATACACTGTTCTTTCCTGATTGCTTATGCATGGAAAAGTTGCAAAGGAATAATACCAGGCAAATCTAACAGGGAACTGATTTCAGCATCCACATAGAAATCAAAGATACACTATAATACTTACAGTATAAGGCAAGACCAAACCTCTAAATAGGTCTCTCCCACAAGCTTAAAAAACTGACAAGCACAGGCGAACTGTTTTCAAACATAATTTTAAAACACTGCTTTGTGGCAAGGATAAGCCACAGTTAATCAATGTGTTCTGAGTTCTACTTCTATACATTACATTTTCAGTGAGATCAGTTCTAAACAACAGAGGCATAAACAGTGATTTAGCAAGTTTCAAGGAAATAATGCTTCCCACCCCCCTTAACCCCCCCCGCCCCCCCTCCCCACTTCCATATTTAGAGGCTTAGAACACAGAAACCTTGCACTGACACAATGTTTTCAATCACTTGCCCCTCATTCCACCTGTGTGATGGACTACAAAAAAGTTGCATTCTGCAATAAGTAGAGAGATGCTTAAAACTGTATTTAATGCAGAAAATGTGTGTTCAAGACATTACCACCAAAGAAGACATCTGAAATTGAGTACAGAAAAAAAAAACTCAAAAAAACCCAACTCAGTTGGAGATTGCACACAGATTGATGGGCAGTTTTAAGAAGGTACAAGGCTTGCAATGGATCAAAGAACTAAGCAAAACCAAAAACTGGCAACAAATACTTGCACATTGTCAAGTCAAAAGTTTGCTTTTTTTTTTTCTTTGCTTTTTTTTTTTTTTTTAAACAAGGCTCATAAATAAACCTGTTGCCATCAATAGTAAGCTAGTGTTTGGTAACACAAGTGAGAAAGGGGCTACATAAATTCATTTAAAATCATGATGTAACATTACCATATTTAGGCCTAAGACTTTCTAAAGAACAGTTGATTGGCATTTTTTCAAACACAAGAAACAAGATCAAAATAACTTTTAGATCAGAAATCAGCTATCAATGTATGTGTAAAATAAATTCAGAACGATCTTTCAGGAGCAATGCAACTAACATAGAATTCTTTAGACAAAGATATATACATCTGCTTGCAAGTATTTCTAAATAGTCTCTTCAAAAAAATATTGTCAGAGTAGTGCAATATAACTTTATCAGCAATTGCAAACAACGAGAGGTAACCCATGGAGAACAACACGGAAAACTCCTCTGGAGGATGGAGTTCTGCAGCCTCCCCTGGGCAGAAATCCCCTTTAGAGTCACCGGGAGCTATGACTAAGAGCTGTGCACAGAAAGTCCCCTCAGAATGAGCTCTCTGCTCACTACCCAGGGAGCTGAGCGTGGAAGTCTACAAGCGGAATCAGAATATATCCCCAAGCACTCATTATGCAGTGCCCACTAAAACCATTGAAATGTAAACCTTTCCTACTCTAAGCTCCGTTCAATTCATACAACAATGCGGTTTCCATGCAATAGGGTGCAGTTGTTATCAGAACTGATGATGAGATCAGCTAACAAAATAGTCAGTATATCAGTTTAACCATAACTGCATAATTTCTTCTACTCTACATTTCACACCGGTAACAGGTAATGTGTTATAGCATAGAGCACATATAAATATGATCTCGTGATTTGAAAGCAAAAACATTTTCTGCAAGATTTCCATAGTAAAATATTCACGTGCACAAAGGGTGTTCACAGCATGACACCCAAAGCAACATGGAGATAGTTTGATAGTATTGCCATTACAGCAGAACTATGGGCTTAATTCACAAAACTATGTAGTATAAATGAAGATTACAGGTACATATAAAAAAATCAGATAGGCAATCAATTACAAACCTGGCAGTATTTTGAGAGAGACAGAGATTTTCAGGTCTAATAATGGAATGATTAAAATGGCAGGAACTTCATTGGGGAGCTCCAAAGAGAGATTTGCACTTGGAGTTTTTTACTGTCTTCTAAATAGCCCTACTGCACAGGAGTACATTGCACCAGAAGTTAACACCAGGGTCTGGAGTTGAAAAAAACTGCTAAAATTTAAGTGCAGTAGGTTTCACTACATTGTATTTCTGTTGACATGTATAAAACATAGAAAACTGTAATGATGACTTCCTGGATAAAAAGATTACGGCTCACAAATAAAATCTGACAGAACTTCTGAGTCAGATTTAAAGTAATACCTTTTGTAGATTTCATCGGCATGATTTGAGTACTTTAGATGTCTCTGACCATTGAGTAGCAGTGCATTTTTACCATTCTACATTGACTTCTTCAGCATGTTACGCTATTCCAAACAGCAACAGCCTTACTTGAAACCTTCATTAAATGTGTCTTTACAGTGCTAAGTATATATTCAATGAAAAACACCTTTATATAATATTTACAAATTCTCCCCATTAGAAAAAAAAGGCAAAATAAATAAAAAGCTTAGAGAAAGGAAATGCTGTTTAGGCTGTAGGTTTTTCTTTTTGTCATCCCCCAGCAGATGCTAGTTTCTAGCCAGGATTGTTTTTCTTCCTTTTGCTTGGGCTGTGACTGGGATCTTGTTTCAGTTCATGATATTGCACCTGTTTAAACACAACATTTAGAAACTGGTCAGGCGGGCACTTGCAAGAGAAAGAAAGAAAGAGTTCTATATTTTTCCAAGATGAAAAGAAAAAAACAGGGAAAACTATCCCCCTGCAAACTATATGGAATCTACAGCTGTGATTCAGTATCAGAATGGTAGTTCCAAAGTAAGAAGGAAAAACACAATTAGGAAAATCCTGCCAGGAAGTAAGACTCTGCTAATGTAAGCTTTAAAAAGGCTACCCTTTTTGTTTTTTTTTCATGAGATGTGAAAAAAAAAAACCTACCATCTCTAAGGAGCTGAATGAATATTCTCTGCAATGTGTTTCGCAAAAACATACTTATTTTCAAAGGCCTAACAAAGACAGGATCAGTTTCACATCACACATATGCATATGCACCTCTTATTTATACCAGCTCAGACCTGAAACCACCATCAGAATCTGGTAAAGATTTCTGGTAAAGAAAGAGCATCACCATTGTGATACTGGAGGTAATTTATCTGTCCAACATATCTCAACGCTTATACCTACACAAGGAGTGGTATATTGCACTATAAAATCTTATAATTCACAACTACGTCACTTTTAAAGAATTTTATGGTCTCAGTTGAACTGTAGCCAAAAATCTTCACCTGTGAAGTACACAGAGCTTCACAGAATATAGGACTCTGGCTCCTGGCATTGTTTGATCCTCCATTGGCCTTTCTGCCTGCCTTAGTGGCCTAAGATAGCAGTGTTTCCTACAAAAAATCACTGCAATGCCTCATCCCTGGAGGCTGCTCAGCACAAGCTCTAGCACCTAAAAACAATTCCCAAATACTTGTATTTTTACAGATTTCCTGTAAGCATAATGGAGATAGCAGCTAACTGCTTGCAGGACAAAATACCAAAGACTACTTAAGACTCATGATCTATACCACACTTGAGTTTCATTTCTTTAAGCCAAAGAAAGTGAAAGCAAAACAACAGCTTTAAAATATATCTACATTTTTTTAAATCAGAAAATCATGATGTCATATGTTAAACTAACAATTAACAGCTTAAAAACTATACATACCACTTGCACATCTGAAGGAACTCTGGACAGAAAGTCAAGTAGCTCGTTGTTATCAATTGCATATGGGCTTCGAAGCTTCTTTGTAAATTTATTGATACCTGCAGAAATGAGCATTTAAATGTTACTGTAGTCATCTTTTTTATTCAGTAGATATATACACAGATAAAGTCCTGAGAAATAAGTTAGGATCAGTTTCCTGATACTAGAATTAATGAATGAATGCACAAACTATAAACTTATGCTATAGCAGTCACCTGCTGTTGTTGTTCCCTCTGATTCAAAGTGCAAGCATCCTAGCAACACATTCCAATTCCTCTAATAATTTTAAACAAATCAGACTGAGAACTTCCTTTACAACGGGAACCGTGTTCATTACGCAAAAGTTAGGAGGGGAGAAATAACACATGCCCCATTCCTATGGTGGATAGGACTAGTACTGGTCAGCTTAATAACAGGTTAGATAGAAGGAGCTATGGATGATGAAGTAGATGGGAAGTAGCTCACCATGTGAAGGCTGAAGGAAGAAGTAACACAAATCTCTGTCTGGGAATGACAGATACAGATGATCTGATTGCACAGAGAGAATGGACGCAAGGACTTTTCTAAACATCGCAGCCTCACAGTGCCAACTGCCAAATAGCATTCAAAAGCACCAAGAAAATCCTCCCTGAACTAAGATAAAAGTAAGCTTTTAACTTATCTTTGCTTATGTACCATGAAATATAATCTCAGATTCATGCAGTTTTCATGAGAATCTTGTGCGTGGGTGCTGGAAACACACATCTAAGTCATGGCCAGTAATGGTACAAACTGCACAGATTCCCACTTGAGTAGGAGAAAGCTGGGACAGCATTTGAAAATGTGTCACTCTGTGTAATTTATCAAGGCTGCATCAGCAATAATTCAGTTTATCTTTCAAGAGTTCTTTGAGACTTTTAGAAAGCTTTAACAGGGACATAAAAGCTTCAGGACACAGTGCACAAGCAGCAGCAGTCTTGGAAACGCCCTTGGGCTTTCAGTGAATGAATTCTCAACTCTCTGATGAAGACAGAAGATTGCTGCAATATCTTTATCTAGAGATTAAATAATGAATACAGGAAAGAACATGTGGAATTCAAAGATGTTTGTCGAAGAAGATCCTCTCCATCTGCAAGTCACTAAGAAATTCAAGGTCTGCCCAACTGCCAATGGCAAATGGCCATTGGACGACGCACTGGTGCACTCAGGAATTAAACAGGCCTACCTTATCAGTTGTTACTCAGTGAAAAGACACTGTGAAAACACAGTTTGAAAGACACACTGTGAAAGCAAATGCATGCAGCAGCAGGGCTTGAGAAAAGAGAAGAACATATCAGTCAGGATGCTACAGGGGAAACACAATGCAACAAGAGGATTAGGCCTCTTCTAAAAACTTGAAACATTTCAGTTCTAAGTCATTTCCTTTACACTCTTTAATACTCTTTAATACATAAACAACTGTAGCATCAACCAAGACTTTGCACTGCTGAGATTAGAGCGCAAATGTGGCTCCTGTTCCAGTTGCGCTAATGCAGCAAAATCTCAAGGACCAAGAGCTTGCTGAAGAGAAAAACAGCTAAGAACTGAGAATTTCTTGTCAGAGTGGGCAGGAACAGGAAATCCCTACAGATGCACAGGAGAAATACAGCTATACATAACACCAGCCACAGCGTGGAGGAATTTTCATAAAAAAAACATTTGCCTTCCCAAAGAACAACATGGGCAGATGCCACTACAGAGATATTCAGCTTCCTATGGACAAAAGTCAAGCAACAGAGATGATTCCTTTCAAGCGCATATACAAATGGGATGAAGAAATGTATATACACAGGGGAGGCTAGAAACATAAAATAATGGAGAAAACAGGCATGTGTTTGAAATGCTACATTTCTGAAAGGAGAGCCATTCCCTTCACACGGCATGACACGTCTCTCTGCTAAACTAAAAGTGTGGGTTGCATCCAAGTGACATGGGGTATGGGAATAAATGAAATTCCCATGCAGGAAAAGACACTGTAGAAGACTACATAATTGCTTCTTTTAGTTCTTTCTTTAGTTCAAATCCTCATCATTTGTACCTCTCAATTTTGTGTATTCTGCTGCACTGATTTGTAAGGACTCTGCAAGAATAGTACCAATCCTGGCTGATATATAATGAACATACCCTTTCAAGTAACTTTGATTATTTCACATTCCTTGACTTCAAAAGTTCTTTACAAAGCTATGGTTGTTTCCTTCAGGAAGGATTTAATGGAGACAGCGTTCTTCACAAGTTTACACTACTGAGTTAAGCATACAGCTGCTGGCGATGTACTATGTATAAGAAATGAACAAATGCAAATTTAGCAGTATAATTTATGGCAGATGAAGTAGTGGTACTGTTTAAAATCAGTGTAAAGAATAAACATAAGGAAAAGTAATGAGAGTTTGGCTCAATCACACTTCCAGCCCCAAGACCCGTGCTCCAGATCCTTAGTTTCATTTCATTATCAACTGGCCAGATACAGTGCGTATCTTTCCTTCAGACTAAAGGTGACCTTTTAAACAGGTTTCTTGCTGATATGTTTACATATACTTTCACAAGATGAAGTACAGCAGTAAAACAGGCATATTGTCCTAAATGCACTATATAGATTGAAATGCCTCTGTCTGTGTATAAGCGGTGAAAATAAATCAGAGTAATATCTACAAAGCTACACTTTGATATATGAAGAATCCTCATGGCTACATGTTTATAGTATGATGAAGTCTAGAATGCCAGCCAAGAAAAATGCATTTTGCAGGTGTGCCTAAATCTTTATGCAGTTGTGATTTTTAACTAACCTGTCTGTTTCCATCATGGAGAAGCTTCATGACCATAAATTCAGAAAAGTACTGACGATGTAAATCATCCCTTAAAAACCAGGTTTTTCTAAGTGGCACAGACAGTTAAAAAAAAGGCTTTACTTACCCCAGACAAGGACAATGTATCTCAATGGAATGAAATACAGGATGACTGTGAACACACAGAGGGCAACAATTGCCAGCCAGCTCAGGAATGGGACAGTCCAGTTGAACGTGCTAAGTGAAAGATTAACAAAAGTCAGAACTTTGGTCATCTGACAGTCAATAATAAAATGCACACTGGGCAGGAAATGGCCCAGCAGGAATAGCAGTTTTCATTAGTGACAACAAAATCAGACTACAAATAAAGGCATGGGTGCTGGTGCTGGACATCAGGGAGATGTATGTATCTATTCTCAGGTAAAAAGAAAGGATGTCCTGGCATCACCACTGCCCCTCTGAATAGCATGTCTCCACGGCTCTGCTGCCCACCTCTTCCAAAGGAAGTGTGCTCAGCTTTATACAATTTCCATGCTTCCCCCAGTTTTGGAAAAAACAAACATTTCCTGTCCCAGCAAATGTACTTGCTCAGGCAACAGTGATGTCCATTTTCAGCTCATCTTTCCTTGACCAGCAAGGGCAGAAAGTAGGAAGAGGCTGATGGAAAAGGATATAACAGCAGGGGATGAAAGAAGGACCAAATAACCCCCCGTCAAGTGGCTGGAGAAAAATGAAGGAAGGTTTTTGTTTTTGTTTTTAAAAAAAAAAAGGAGAGGAGGGAGAGTGGTGTAAGATAAAGTACATTACAGAAAAAGGCACAAAAAACTTCAACATTCCAGATCAAATGAAATCAAATGGATATTCCTTGAATAAAGGAGGAGACTTTCTGCAATTCCACCGGAGTTTCAGGGCACTGACTTTACAAAAAAGCCCCAGATTAAAAATGACTTAACAAGAGTTCAAAATTCTATTACTTGATATTCTATTACTTGATAAAAAAAACTGCTGATCTCCTCATTTTGCAGAGGTTAATCTACGGGCAGAATAAGTGAAACTAATGAGTCTAGAAATAGCCATGCGGTGGCTCCCCAGTCTCTACAAGCAAGGAAGAGAGAAAGGACAGATGGCCAACTTAGATGTGTGTCCCATGGGAACACCAGTACAGGGAGCCTGACTAAGTGGGATTGTGCCATGAAAGCACCACCATGTCAAAGGTGCAGCATGACATTTATGCAGAAGGAAAATGCAGCTTTGGCTCTAAGTAGCTTGATGATAGTCTTTAAAGTATTACCACTAACTATACGCCCAATCAGTGTGATTACATTATTTTGGCTTCTCTGGCTGAATAATTGCAATTATCTGAATTGCTAGCCATATTTTTCATAATGAGCTCTGGCTTCATGTGTTTATTTGTCTTCTTTTCTCTCTGGCAATTTTGACATGTCTCCAGAGTGAACATTATGTAGTGTCACTTGGTGTGGGATCACTCCCGCTCTCCTCAAGGGACACCTGCTCTTTTCCCCTCTTCTGCATGCATTTGGGATGAACAGAAGGTTGAGGGTCTGCTCATGTTCCTGTGACTCGGCTTTGTGCAATGGATCACAGACATGCCATGTGTGGGAACACTGGCTCCTCACTTAGCAAACCTCCGTATGTGCTGTGTTAGCACAGTATTCAGTACAGGTTTCCCATTATAGTTTTAGGAACAAATTACAGAGATTTATAGGAAGATTTGGTCTCACTATGCTTAGAAAATTCTGTTGCTCTCATCTGGTATATAACAGAACAAACCCTACTTCCAAAGTGCACAATTTGAAAAACTTAATCATCAAGGCAATTTCCATAAGCAGTCTTCTGATAAAAGACTTTTACAGAGGCTCGTTTTACTTGTCTGGAAAACTTGTGCAATACACTGTGCTTACATCTGCCTCTGCTGCTGTGAATGTGGCCTGTTTGCAAGAGTCCCTCTGAGAATGTTTCCTGCAGCACGACCTCCACTCAATATATCAATTCTCTAAAATTGCCTTAAAACAGCATTTATTTTGGGGTCATATCTCTCTGTACAGGCTATGGTCCTAGAAACTGGGAACACCAAGGTACTGCACATTGCACTGAATAGTGAGGGGAAAAAAAGAACATACTCCAGATGCATTGTGCTCAGAGTATACCCGAACCAAACAAGAACAAATAGCTTTGACTTTTCCTTAAGACATCTGAAGTGCATGAATGGAAACTATATAGCAAGACTACTCTGTGCGGCTCACAAGACACCTTTCTGCCTACCCTCCCTGCCACAGCGGAAAGGAGGCTGTGAACATTCTTCTCATGACTTTTCATCTTGCAAGTCTCTGCTCTCAGCTTTCAAAGGGCAGAAAGCCAAGTCAATTCTGTCCCTGCTTTTCAGCTGACAGTGCTTCTGGAGGGAGCCTTCCGGATGTCAAACAAAAATCCTTAGACTGCTGCTTGGTGACCTTGCAAAAAATCCACCAAACTTCCTGTCACAAATCTCAAGCCTCTCTTTCTTAAGGTCTAAACTTCTTGGCAGTTCTGACATATCATCTATAAAGTGTTATAAATTAAATATAATCCAAGAGGAAAGGTTTTCCTAACTCACATAAACAGAACATCAACAGCAAATGAATATGTGTATCATAGAAACAGAATCATTAAGGTCGGAAAAGACCATTAGGATCATTATGTCCAACCCAAACCCATCTGCATCGTTATGTTCCTCAGTGCCACATCCACATAGTTCTGAAACACCTCCAGGGAGAGTGACTCCACCACCTGCCAGGGCTGCCTGTTGAATACATCGCTACTCTTTCAGAGAATAAATGTTTCCTTATAACCAACTGGAACTTCCTCTGGTGCAACTTAAAGCTATTACCTCTCATCCTATCACTATTAGCTGGGAGAAGAGGCTGACCCCTACTTTGCCACAGCTTCCTTCTGGTCACTGTAAAGCGGGATAAGGTCTCCCCTGAGCCACCTCCAGACTGAACCATCCAACTTCTCTCAGCAGCTCCCTGTTAGACTTCCACACCCCTCACAGCTTTGCTGCCCTTCTCTGGACATGCTGCAGGGCCTCAATGTCTTTCTTGTAGCGAGGGGCCGAAAACTGAACACAGTACTCAAGGTATGGCCTTATCAGAGCTGAATATGAAGGGATGATCACCTCCCTGTTCCTGCTGGCTGCACTATTTCTGATCCAAGCCAGGATGCTGTGGGCCTTCGTGTAAATATCCTGAAACCTCATTTCAGCTCTGCTCATTTCCTTTATCAGAACTGCATTTTTTATTATTATTTTTAAGTAACTGCTGTTGGATTCACAATAAGATTCTCTTTGTTTTTCACTCCAATGCCTTAATTCTGATATTTTCCTCCCAATTAATATATTTTTGAATTCCAAAATTAATCTGGCAATATTGTCATTAAGTTAGGCCTGCCACAGTGCAAAGTAAATAAAGATGAATTCTAGGAACAGATTGGCCAAAACTGGAGCCTTCCATGAACATGAGAGCACCATGTCAGCACTTACTTCTTTATCCTTTCTCCAAAGGAAGCTACTTCATCAAGGATGTTCTGGACACTAACACACACCTCTTGAATAGCATACAGTTTATCCATAAATCCTTTTTTCTCGCTGTCCTAAAGGAAAGAATAATAGTTATTACACAAAAACAAATCTGTAGGATATATCCCATGCATCCATCCATGGGGTTTCAGAAGAGTTTTAGCTCATTTAGCACAGGAAAGGCACACTTATCATTCTGCCACATATCTCTTTCTTACACCCAGTCTTACATACCTACCATGTTCACAGGAACTCTGCCAGCTGTTCAGCACACTCCATGCTGCCTTCAGCACAGCAGCACAGGGGCAGCCCCATCTTAAGCCCCATCCTACTGTGTGACAGCATGTGGTATCCACTCCACAAACCTGCGCCTGTCATGCAGTGTTGGACAAGTCCTTCTTGTTAATATTCAAGTGTATGAAGTGTAATGGAGACATAATTTCAAGCTGTCTATCTCTAAACAAAAATGCTGAATTAGATGGGCTTAAAACCAAGCATCGCTCCAGGCACAAATAACAGTTTCTCTTCATTTTTACTGACTACAAGGGAAGTTGGAAGTGTTACTCAAAATTTTCAGTGCATTAACGTCATATTACACTTTCTAGGTTAAATTTGATTAGTGCTTTCCCAAAACATGAAATGTAATAAAAAATATTTCAAGATTAGCAAAAAGCAGCAAAATCTTTGATAACAAAAAAAAGTTGTTCAGCAATTTGTTATCACAAACAACTTACTACAGAAGCCTCTGTAACTGACTCCACAGACAAGCACCTAAGAAATTACGATAGGCTGTACTGCATTTTTCTTTTCTTCTTCTGATTCCTAATTAGCAGACACCATATTGGTTTGCTTATTTTGTTGACATTTTTGTCTTTCTAAGCCAGACTGGATGTAGAAAATATCACTTTATATTAGATCAGTGAAGTTATTCTAGTGACACAGGTTCTGCAACTATATTGTCAAGAGTTGTAAAGATGTTGAAAGAGTTTAGACACAAAACAGATTGTTGAAAAATAAACGATCGTGAGGAAAAGAGAGAGAGTGCAGTAATAAAACTATTTCCAGTGACTGAGTGTAACTTAATCCAACAACTCAGAGACACAAGAAAAGTCAGATTCTGAAGAAACGTGACAAGTTTTTGTTCTCAGTTAAGATTAATAATTATTTATATCACAAATAAATATTTCTGTGGATCACAACCATGACCACTAACATGTAGCACATCTAATGCTGTACAACTGAGTGATTTTTAAAATTAATTCTTTAATATTTATTACACCCTTGAGGAATTCACTGTATATCATCCTCAGATATACAGCTTCTGAAGAGGTGCAGAATATATCTAATGCAGTTAATTTATGAACAGAAAAGACTCTTCTATTCATTCATGTAAAACTTATACTTCCAGTACAGGAGAAACATGAAAATAATCTGTTTACTACTCCAGCAGAAGTAGGCAATATTTCATACAGAAATCATAGATATCCTTCTGCTTTTTAAATATATATAAGCTTTGTCTCTTCAGTGTAAATACATGAATTTTGCTCAGTTATCTTGATTTATAATTCAATTGTGTGAGAAAAGAATTATGTAAATATAACAAAAACAGAACCCTTTGTGACATCTCCAGAACCCAAGAGGGATAGCTTTAAGAAATCCTGAGGCTATTTTTCTTTAAAAATATTTTACAAGGCATACTTGCACCCTTTTTTTACAATACATCTGCTTTAAATAATTCCATTAACAAAAGCACACACACGCACAGAAAAGCAACAACAAAAAAGAAAGAGACAGAAAGAAGAGTCACTATTTCCATCCCCTGCACTTCCTGAACTTACAGAAAATTTGCTGACATATTATAAGGAAGGACGAAACAGCACAGGAAAGTGGAGGCGGTCAGAAGGATTAGGGCTCAGCTTTACTTAAACTGATTCCACATGCCCTACAACTATTAGCTGTTTTTTATTTCTTTCTCCAAAGATTTGTGGAGAAAATAATCTGGGTTAGGGAAAGGCTACACTTACTTTCTTCCAGCAAGAAGCTGTGTTAGCAAATACAACTTATGAGCCACCATAAGCAAACCAAGGCTCTTAATAGTCCATTTTTCAAACACTACTGATATTCCCTTTGCAAAGAAAGATGGGCTGTCACTGGAATCAATGTCATCATTTGTATGGCTACAATTGCCAAGTTTCTAGAAATAATTGCCATTTAAATAGAAGATAATATTTATTATAAAAAGCTATCAACAGCTTTATTGCTATTTAATTTCTCTGCTTTGTTTGCTTGCAGAAGGCTTAAGGTATTCAAAAAGCAAGATGTTTGCTAGGGGATGTCTTTAACTATAAACTGTGAAAGCAATGTCAAATTGATGTTGACAGTCTCACTGGAATTTACAAAAGGGAATGAACACAAAGTAAAAACTTGAAATCAAGTCCTCTTCCCACTTTGCAGTAATATGTACATTACATATTGATATACTGCTTGGCCAATAATAATATTTAATGCTTGTATTTTTTATTCAGTGAAGCAAAACAAAGTAAATGACTTGCTCTAGATTGTATGGAGCTGATTCACATCAAAATCCAAGTACAGTGCATGCTGTCTCCGAATTTTTTTATTTAGTGCACTGTGCTTCTTTCCCCATGATAAAACAGGGTGATTTAGGAAAGGATTACACCTCTAAGCCCAAATGCCTCTCTCCTCTAGGCTGAAGTGCATTTACGAAACAAACACCCCAAAAGAAAGTTAAAGCAGAAGAAATAAGTCAGAATCAAAAGTGAACTTTGCTAAAGTTAATGGAATTGAAAGAAGTGGGAAAAAAAAAGAGCTTTAAGTGATAAGAGATATTTTTAGGACAGAGAATAAAGATCTGAATGCCTTCTGGTAGATAACTGTCTTGCTAATGAACTGCTACGTTGAAGCTTACGTTAGGCAATTGTCCTATTAATAAACTGAGATGTTGGAGAGAAAGACATGGTCATAAAAACAAAAATCATACAAAAATCAGAGCGTTTCATCCAGAATATGGGTAAATTTTGAAACTTTGAGGCGATGATCTCAGAAAGGGTCTTCCAAAAATACTCCTTGTTGCCCAAGTGTGTATGATAAAGTGCTGCTATAAGAACCAAAGTGACTGAGACAAAACCCGAGTGATTGGAACACAGAACGGACATCATGCCATTACTGGCTGGGACCTAAATATTCACACACTGTGTTCTAAGAAAGTGTTATGGTCTTGTCACTTGGCCACAAGAAGATGCACAATATTCTTTGCTTGTGTCACTTACCTGGGGCTACAAAATCATTGGTGACAGTGAGGTCAGCGAGGAATCACTCTAATCGTTCTTTGGCTGCTAGTAAAAAAATCTGTAAATCTCAATTACTTGAATAGTGTAGAAATATTTTGACGAGGATTGCTGCAGTTTACTTCAACTAACAATTGGTCTCCAAAGCAGATCTGCCCTATCTGTATGCATGCACATCATCTCTCAGAGTGCAAGCCATGTGTAGGGCTGCAGTATCTGGCAGACCTGAGCAGTAGGTCCAGAATGTTGGTAGAAAAAGCACTATGCAGGATTCATTAGCACTTCCTGTAGAGGGCATGGAGACAGCAGCTGCTGAATACAGTCCAAGGCCTGGTTGCTGCTCAAAAAACTGTGAATGGGGATTAATGGCCTCACCAGTCACCTCCTAGGCTCTAACCTCTTTTTTCTGGGAAAGCCAGTAGGAAGACAGCAAGCCTACATTAATCCATTTCTGGAGGCATTTGATCTCCTCCAGGTCTTCTGAACTGCTATTAAAAGGCCTCAGACGTGGTGAAGGATACGGGTGTAAGTCACTATCTTATCTTTTTATCAGGGAAATGGAAAGAGGGCAAGCAACCATGACGATACTGTCATATTCAAGCATATTTGCAAGTGGGATCATGAGGTACAGCTGTATGTTGTGTAGGACCTGGAAAGATACACCAGGTGACCTGAAACAGGCCTCCTCCATTATGTCTGTAATGAACAGAGGGGATCGGGTTGTTTTAACCATTCTTACCTCTTGAAGGATGCCACATGTGGAGTACAATAACCATGTTATCTTGTCACTTCTGGGAAGACTCTTGAAGAGATTAAAATCCTTCAATGGGAGCTTAGCAATTTATAAGATCCCACCCTTCACTAAGCCATCTTATAACTCTTCAGATCATACACTATTAGTATTAGTATTACTTTAAATACTGATTGACTGTATGTCAGGTACCGGCATCTGTTCTCCTCTTAGCACCAATAACAAAATAAAACAAAAAAAAAGCCTAGATAGTTTTGAAACCATTCTGAAAGAGAACAGTCAGAGAGGGCTTTCCACAGTGCTGGTAGAATTTAGCATGGACATCATATCTCAGGGTTATCTCAGGCCATTAGAATTAAGCTTTAAAACTGTGGACTTAGTTCTGACCTCAGTACTTGTTAGTGCACATTCAGTGTATTTGTAAAAGGCAGATCAGTTGTTTACAAACGATACATATTTCATCTGTAAGTACTACCTGCTAGCTTAGGTCTTTACATGTGAATTTTACTGTAGAGAACAATACATAGATAACAGATTTGAAAATAACTGCTGATGAGCAAACGGAAATTAGACTGCGGATTTCTAAAATACTGAGAAAACTACATTGTTATTAAAAGAGTAGAGATAAATGGTATCTGTGGTCATGATTATTAAGGAAAGAAGCAATAAAATGTTATTACATACTGAGCATTCAATATTTTAAACAGCATAAAGCAGGCACAATAGAAACCACATAAACATGTGGATGAAAACACTGACGGTTCACTGCTTAGGAAGACGCCATGACTATGAGCATGAATATTACAACAATCTGTTCTTTCTCAAACAGACAGTAGGAGTTGATAAAAATCATTTTGAACCTTCTGTGACTTTCTGGCACTACCACCTATCTAAAGAATTAGGCTCTTTATGTATATAACAAACAGCTGCAGTACAAGAACATAAATACATAATTTTAAAAAAGTAATGAGGAACAGTACTAACTCTGGGGAAAAGGTGGTATTATAAGCTTTCTGTGAAGTAGAAAAAAAAATGGCAACTGACAATATAGTTCAAATGAAGATTTTTTTTGCCAATGCTTTTTATTTTTCCTTTTTGCCTGGCTGCATTGCATAGTATTGCCTAATTCTGGTCCTTCCTGGTCTTTCCTTTACTGAACATTTTAGTACAGTGACAGCAACACTCCAGATAAAACAGATACATGAATGCAGAAGAGCTCCATATTAATTGATTTGCCATTTCACTGCAGTGGGATGAAACAAAATCATGAGTTTGCATTGCATTATAACTTTTTGGCTAATGCCTTTAATTATGGTGATAAATTAAACAATGTCAGTCAACGGTGTGCCTACCTTGGCTTGAGTTTGGTATGAACCTTAACAAATTAAGTCATGGTAGTGTCAAGCATTGCAATGATGAGAATCTACCAGTCGCTTTAGGTTCACATTTGAAAATCCTGGGAGGCAGGGGCAGATCTCCCTGGGAAAGCCTCCATGCCTCCTGGGTATGGAAAATATATATACATACAGAGAAACTGCTTGCCCAAGGGGCCCTGCTTCCCTGCTAAGGGGAGGGCCAGTAACCCCAAGGACTCTCCCCAGATCTGCAAGAGGCAGTGCCAGAAGGGGCACTAATAGGGGCTACAGCTGCTGCAGAATGAAAAATAATATAAATATAGCACAAAGATCTCACTCTGACTCTACACAGCTGATGCTGCCTACCACAGGTGGCTGCTTTCCCCCTTTTTGTGGGCTCCTTCCTGTTTCAGTGGGACAGCCATCTCCCACCAGTAGGCCTGCTGCAGACATCCACCCACAGCACTGCAGATCTGGGGGCTTGTTGTGGATGGACAAGAGCCTGGGAGGGAATGCAACTAAAACAGCTCAAATGGATCCAATGAAAATTCCATGCCAGTGGGCTGAAGAAGTGGGGGTGGAGTTTGACAGAGCTGCTGTTGTTAGGGACTGGCTGGACATTTGTTGGTTAGCCTTAAACAAGTGCTTGTTGTATCAGTTGGTTTTCTTGATTAGTTTTGCTTTTCCCACATCTTCTACGTATTAATCTCAACTGATCGTTTTTCTCACTTCTGGCTTTCCAGTTCCAAAATGCTTTTCTTAAGGAATTGGATGCAGACGAGAAAAATGCCTCACATTCAGATAAGCCAGAGTAGGATATCCAAAAACTTGCATTCAGGACATGAATCTGCAGCAATCAAGATGAAAATACTAATATATGAGATTTAAGCAACATTATTCATAGGAGTTGAATGTTTAAAGAAAATCTCCTTGGAAGTCATTTGAGTCTGAATCCCACAGTTCTGATCAAAATGCTGACTGAAAGAACTGCAAGCACTCAAAAGCAAAAAACACAATACAATCATCATGTTACTAGCCCTGTTTCAGTTCAAGACAAATCGTGACATGTCCAGACCCTACAACTATGAAATAATTGGTATATATATATATATACATATATAGTAGCTGTATATGTATATATGTATATATGTAGTATATATATGTATATATATATATATATATATATACATTGGAAATAATGGTAGCTACAATTATTCAAGAAATCTATCAAATATTAATAAATTGCAGAAAGACTTCCAAAAATACTGCATATTTAATATAAATTTCCTGGATAAATGTTCAAGCTGTGCTTTTGGAAAATTACTTAATGCAGAAAAATACTTCGGCATTTGAGGCAAAACAATATAAAGAGGAAGAAAAGAGCAGCATCTGGAAAAGTTCCCTGCAAATATTCCAGGCATATAGTGGGCAAGGAGAGATGTGTGAACCACGAATTCCATATTGTTTTGGAAGAAAATCCAGAGAGAAGGCTGATAAGACTTCACGGCTCCTTTTCTCAGTATCTGCTTATTTCATTGAAATGAAAGAAATCCCTCCTTGTTTACTTGGAACTACTGAAAATTTGGAAGAGATTTAAATCTGAGCCATCTAACGAAGGTTGCATGGCTCCATGAATAAGCAAAATCACAGTGTAGGGTAATTTGTTACAATGTTATTTTAATGTCTAAGCATGACAATACTCTGTTCTACATTAATTTGAAATAAGCTCCAGCATACATAATGTCTCGGAAAAAAAAGCACATATTTATGCTGGACCACAGTAAATTGTACTCTGAAAATTTCTGAAAACGTTCTGAAGGCTTTCATTTCTGGTACTGTGCTGTAGATTACAGTGCAGAAAGCAAAAGAGTCGCTGAAAGGCAAATCTTCACATAAGTATCTTTTTTTTTTTTTCTTTTTCCAATAAAACCAACTTTTGTAGCCAAACCAAAAATTGTGTGTATACTGTATGTATACAATTGTTAATTTACAATAAAAGACCTACTATTCAAAGCTACTAGCTTGTCTCCTACATGAATTTACTTTTGACAAATCAATAATGCTTATTTGAAAAGATATTGAATAGGGATACTGTAGGGAGAAAAAGGAAGGCAAACTACTGTTAAAATTAAATACAACATTTAGATGATTAATGTAATGCTAGAATGATAACTGAATAAAATAAATGACCTGAAACATGGAAGTTTGCTAGTCCTCAGGCAATATTAACATGACCACTGAGTGCTCATGACATAGAAGCTATATTGGATCACAAATTATGCAGTTTACACTAAATCTTACAAACAAAGCAGGAAAAAAAGCTGAGATATCTAATTTACAGAAAATGAAAAATCGGTGTTTAATGGAATTTATGAGCTTTCCTAGAGAAACAAATAAAAGAAGTACTTTAACTAGTCACTCTAACTCGTGTATTTCCTCAGACAACTTTTTTTTCCTCATTGTCTCCTGCTTGCATGCTCTGTGTTTGGAAACTAAGAAGTGCCAAGATCCACAGATACACAAAATCCTAGGAGGAGAAGGGCTAGGAAACCTGCTGGGAATAATAAGCATGACAGCAAACCTACAAATCATTGTAGTTTAACATTTTAGAGTGCATATGAAGTATTAAGCAAACAAATGGGTATGTGAGCAAAAGGAGCACTCAGCAGCATTTAGCATGCGAAAATTGCTAAACTGGCTTTCAAAACATAATGCACTCCTGTTGGAATCAGATCCTTTTCAACATGGGCTTCCTTTTGAGAGAGAAAACAAAACACTGAAAAGACAATTGGAGAGCATCTCCCTCCAAAATCCCTGATCTTTTCCTGACATTTTCACAGATGCCAGAAATCCATGGAGGATGACATCAACTTCAAAGCTTTGCTGGCACCAGCTGACCGGAGGAGGATGTATGATGCCATCATCACCTGCTTCCCTGATTCTGCCTTTGCCATCTAAGTAACTGCGTTAGATTGTGCATGATCCATATAAAGGCACAGTTTGTTTAGAATAACCCATTTTATTCCCATAGTACTTTCCAGCAGAGAAGACTAATTAGGCCTCCAAAAGAGCCCTTTAACTCTTCGCTTTAGTACCACTCACAGAAGAAACAATCACTAGTCAAATGCACAATTGCAAGAATTCAACAACAGTTTTCGTCTTCAACTTTCAGCAGCTTCGGAATCATTCACTGTCTAGTAAACAAAGTTTAAATGCTTTTCAGCCCTGGTTGCAAGATCAGTACCCAATCCAACATCAGCAGAGAATAAAGCTGCTGCTGTATAATGTATTTTTTCTCATGTGCTGCTTTCCATAGATTTCATTATTGATCCTAGATCTGCACTCATTGTCATATCCAGGGCATGGATATAATAAGTAAACAGGGAGAAGAGCTGTGAAATTTCTATCATCATTGAAATAACTGGCTGGGAGGATGTATTGCATTCAACTTTTTCCAAAGAAAACAAGAAACATGTCACTCCTGCAGAAAAAGCTTGACACTATTCCATCCTGACAGTTTGAAATTAAAAACCCAAGCACTTCAGGTATTTAGGCTTTGTTAGCAAACAGATGACAACAAGCACCTGCACTGGACTAAAACAGCTTCTGTAAAGTGTCTCTTTTGTTTTGGATTACCCAGACTACACTAAGGTTATTTGAAATTAAACACGTGGATGGACTGCTTGCACTCTCTGT